GGGGGGCTCGGGGGGTCCGGGGGGTCCGGGCAGCCTCACAGAGGGCAGGATGGGGCCCATAGGACAGGGATGTGAGCAGGATCCCCTCCCGGACAGACCGACCTGGTGATGCTCTGCCTCTCCTCACAGACAGACAGATGGACAGGGCAGTGCCCAGCGTCCCCTCACAGACAGACGGACATGGCAGAGCTTGGCTTACCATGACAGACACACAGATGCACAGGACAGTGACCAGCAAACCCCCTCATGGACAAGACAGATGGACAGGGCAGTGCCCAGCATCCCCTCACAGACAGACATGACAGGGAGTGGCTGCCCTCCCAGACAGACAGACAGACAGACGTGGTGGTGGGGTGGCAGAGCAGTGTCTACCCATAACTCCCAGACAGCCAGCCAGCTGTGTCCCACCAGCCCATGCTGAAGAGAGCTGCTGGGGCAGGATCCACCCTGGTGAGCAGAGCTGGGGCCAGCCCAGGTGGGGCCAGGCTAATCCCCGCGCAGACAGACAGACAGACGGGCCCGCGCCCCGCTCGCCCCTCCTGCCAAGGGGGTGCCCCGTTAAATCCCAGGCAGAGCAGGTGGAGCACGGCTAATCCTCAGGCAGAGAGGGGCAGTGGCTGGGGCAGGCAGGCAGGAACAGCTCTGGCAGAGCCACGTTTCGCACCAGAAACATCCCGACAGCTTCACCTGGACAAACAGACCGAACGTAGAACCGTCGTAGAATGGTTTGGGTTGGAAGAGGCCTTAAAAATCACCTTCTGCTGGGAGAAGCAGAGTCCTGAGGGCAGAGAGGAGTTAACGGCTCCATGGCAGGCACAGTTGGGGGATTTTTTTTTTACCTGTGAAAACCAAAATAAAGATGACACCCCCATGTCCTGCCCCGTTCAGGCAGAGCCGTGGGCTCCGGACCGGCCGTGGCCTTCAGGAGCTGCCCCTAAGATCTGCAGTCGGAGATAAAAAGAAAGTTCCTGCTGGTTCTCTTCCAGACAAATGAGCCTGGCCGAGTCTTTCTGCTCCTTAGCAGCATCTGCCCACCCTCTGCACCTGATTCCTTCCACCAGCCTTTCATCTCCCTCCCCTGCCTGCGTCCAGAGCCCCGGCAGAGCTGCCTGCAGCCTTCGTGGTACCCGAGGATGCGGGTCCCCTGGGACCATGCCCTGCCCACCTCCTTCTCCTCATCTCCTCCCGCCTCAGCACTGCTCTTCCCGCAGCTCCCCCTCTCCCAGCCTCCTCTGAAAGCTGCCTGAGAAGGGATTTTTGACCGAAGGGAAGGGTTTTCTGGAGCTTTGCCTGTTTGGAGACAGCGGCGCTGGGGCCTGTCTCCTTATCTCTCTCTAGTCTGACCCCTCCGGGGGGACGTTAATGACAGGCTGGTTTGTGCCTGAGAGTAAGAAGTAGAAACTTGAACCAGGCATATCAGGCCTTTCCATGGAAGCCTGCCTGCCTTCTGTGTTGATCTGTATGCTGCTGGTGCAGGTAAATCTGGAATCAACAGGTTATTGAAAAGACAAAAAAACCCACCTCTCTCTCTCGGTGTGTGCGCTCGCTGATCAACACGGCGGTGAGGCCCTTTGGTGGGAGGTTTGGTAGGGGATGGAAATGCCTTCCAGGTGGATTTTTCTTATTTTTGTCTTACCTGTGCCTGCCCACGCGATGCTGTGGCACAGGGGTTCAACTCAGTTGTCTGCATGTGGTCATCAGGGGCATCCAGGATGCTCTCGAGACACACATCCAGTGTGGGTGGGTTTGGCTGAGGACTTGCAGGAGATCTGGTCATCTGGTCACCTTGGCTCAGCAGCTGGAAGCCAGCTGAGACACCTGAGGACATCTCAGGTGACACTGGACATCTGTATTTAGACAACAGTGGCATGTTTGCAGCCTGAGCTGGTCTAGTCTGGGATGGTCAGTTTTTCAACTCCCTCCTGGTGCAAGGTGATGTCTCTGTTAAAGCTTTTTGCATCAGAAAAATGCAGGAGGCTGCAAATATCAGAACCCTGCTCATGTATTTTCCCGTGGTCACTGTCATTGCTTCTTGCTGCCTCATTTAGGTGGACCAGTGATGTGGCTGCCTTAAATGATGTGGCTGCCTTAAATGACGTGGCATCGTGATTGACATGGCAACACTGAACACCAAGAGGGGCTGAGCTCACTTGCTTGCCCACTTGAAGCATATTCTTGCTTGGTGGTGTCTACCTAGGGACTACTTTGTTCTGAGTCTGTGGGTGAGACTGGTGGAAATATCCTCCAAGGCCTGAAACCCTTGGGTGAACCCAGAGCTGTCAGGATGAGGTGTAGATGAGATGACAGATAAAATATGCTGGTAATTGAAGCTTGCTATGGCAAGGATGGGTGGGGGTGGAGCTGGCCATAGGTCTCCATTGGAGAAGAGCTCTGGCTGGTCCAGTTCAGACTGGGAGTAGGTTTCTATAGCTCCATATTTAGGGCATTTACTGTGATTCAGTCTATAGTGTCCATAAATCTACATTTGACATCTGATGAGAAGTTCAGGAATAGTTGCAGGGTGTGTTTAGTCTCTGTAGTACAGCCAGTCCCAGGCTATGTCACCAATTGAAATATTTTATTGAAACACCACTTTCCAACATTTTTTGATATAAGCATTATCAAGAAATGGAAATTATAATACAAGAGTATAATTGCCCAACTCCCCTTAACTTGCTGCAGTGCTTTATTGAAGACACACTGCAAAAGGAAGAAGGCAAATTCCTTTCACATAATTAAGGATTTTAAATCTAGACTGCATTTTTTTAATAAAATATTTTATTTTCATGCTATCCTCTTGTACTACAGATAGTTTCAGCCTCTGTGCTTGGATTAATTGTTACTGGAGTTATTATATAAAGCCTATTAGAAAAAGCAAAAAGCAAAAAAAAAATAATACAAACACCACTGGGTGTATTTTACCCTGCACTTGTCATTCAGAAAAGCTTTCCAGTGTGAGATGTATGAATTATTATAAATTAAACACAGAACGTTCAGCACTCCAGACTTTCTACATGCACTAATATCCATTTATTAAAATAAATAGAGGCACAAGCTCTTTCTGAGGCACAAGAGGTCATTTGGCAGCCCAAGTGGGCCTTTGTTTGGAGGAGAAGTATTTCTGAGATAAATAACTCTCTTCCCATTCCCACAAAAATGGTTTTTATATTGCAGCACTGGGCCTGGAAAGTCTGTGCATTTTTTTTTGCTTCAAAAGTGGACATTTTGTCAAACCTGTGCAGAACTCAAAAGCTTGAAGGAAAAAATCAGCCTGGAATGGAAATAGCAAAATGGCTCTGAGAAATGCAGCTGGGGACCTTAAAAAATGGGGATAATAATGTTATGGATTATAAGATCAAGTCTGATCAGTGATCAGGTGTTTATAGGTGAGCTGGTAAGAGAACCTTGTGCTGGATTGAATTCTAGTTATTGCTCTGTATATTATTAAATACTTCCATTATCATTAGTTATGAAATGAATTTTGCATTTGAATACCTTGCCATTGCTCATGAATGAATTCACACCATATCTGGATGCTATAGGGATGTATTATCTCCATTTTGCAAGGGAGGAGCTGTTCTAGCAGTGAAGATCAAGCAAAAAGCTTGTGGGAGGACTGACTGGTCTGATTCCTCAACTGCTTTTCACACACACACATTGACAGCCCTTTCTCAGGCTTCTTACTGTTTGTCTTCAAAATCCAAGGAAGTAACACTACCAGCATCTTCCAGAGAAGAAATTTCAAATGACACATCTATGGTCCTTGAGGAAGAACCATTTATGTGGTTTAGAGACCTGTGCAGAAATAGGTAAATGGACAACTCCATGTGATGTCCCAGAAGTGCTAAATTTCCCTCAGGTCTAACGTAAGGATGTGTAAAAACTCATGTGGCTGCACATCTGAGGCAAATCAACAGTGCAAGGTGCTTGTTCCAACAAGGAACCTCACAAGTATTTGCAGAGCTGCTTTTACCCTCTGCCCACCTCATCACCCCTGACTTTTAGGGAGTTCTGCTCCAAGCATAAGACCTTGGAGCTTCCAGGGCTTAATTTGATTTCTTGCTTTAGTTAGAACCAGTTGCATTTCAACAAGTCATTTCCCTTGCTGAGAGCTAAAGAATTGCAAGTTTACACACTGGAAAGTTCTTCCTTGTCAAAAGGTGGAAAGATATTGGTAGAGCTGCTCTAATTTACTAGAGGCCTTGCATTCCCATTCCTCTGGAAAGCTGTGGCATCCCGAGGGCATGATGGGCATCTTCATACATTGGCAACCATCCCCAGCACACAGAATAGTGTGGGTTGTGTGGATGAAAAGCCTTGGAAGTTTTCTTCTTTCAGTGAAGTATTTTCTTCTTCCTTTTCTGCATGCACATCACCAACGTCCTTAGGGTGGAAGTGAAAAATACCCACACAAGCCAGACTATGATGTCTGGTGGAATATGACAGCTGTGGAAGTGGTGTGGGATAGGACCTCTTAAATCCAGATTTTGCATGTGTGTGTGGCTTGGGAGAGGGAAGGAGGGACTGGACTCTGGTTTTATTAAACCCAACAAAAGTATTGCAGCATGGATCCAATGCTTCCAAGTGTTTCTCCCGAAGGAACATTTACAAATCCATCAAATGTACATGAATTATTCTGTGTTTCCTTACTCCTGTGGTAAAAGAAGGTTTTATACTTGCCTTTTTATAGTTTCTGGTCTTCAAAGACATTTATATCTGGTTTTCCCCTTTAAGGCAGCAAGTCCTCCATGCTGAATCCTTATAGAGGCCTTCAGCCCCCTGGGAATGGCTCTCACTCCCAAAATCCTGCTCCTGTGATTTCTTTAAGTGTTGACCTGGCCAAAAGCTGGGATTTCCCTTTTCTCTGCAGCCCCACAGACAAACTTTTAGCCTGAACTTCTTCCCAGGCCAAATCCTGTTTGGGTATTTCTTAGAAAACTCCTCCAGTACCAACCCATTCGTCTGCTCTAGACTTGAGATCCCAACTTTGTCTTCTCCTGAGCTGACACAGAAGGGAGTTGTGTGGCTGCTGGAAGGGTCAGTGCATTAATCTGAAGTTCTTCAGTGGAGTTTTGAGCCCCTTGTTTGTGGAGCTGGGTGGATATTGTGTTTTCTTTTTGGTGACTGAAGCAGAAAACAGTCAGGATAAAAGTGAACTATATGCAACTGAAAACTTATTTTTTTACACTTCTCAGGTACTTCAAAAACTCTTGGAAATGTGATTTTGAACCAACCATGGACATTGTACTTAAGTGACATCAAATTATTTATCTTGAGGCTATTTAATTCCTTTCTCTAGCCTGTTTTAATAGGAAAATGCTACTTTAAAAGGAAAAACAGAAGTTTAATTTAGAAGGTAAAAGAACACTGGCATTTTCAAAATGGATTCTTCCTTAAAAGGGCATCTAAATAAATAGATTGACTTTTTTACTTTCCAAATTTCACCTGCACTCACAAATAGTTTTGAATGGCATGATACTGCAATTTTCAGGGAACTTGCTATCTGGCAAGAAAAGAAATAATAGCTTAGTTTTCCCCACATGCTGTGACATCCCTTAATTCCTTAATTGCTTTAATATGAGCAGGTTTGGGTTGTGTTTATACTATTTTGTGTTAAAAATTCCACTATCGTACAAGTCTGCTGTAGCTGTTCCACTAGTGGGAAGTGGGTGAAGCAGGGAGGGAGCAGATGTGTGAAAAGCACCACATGCCCTGCTCAGAACCTGTCTTTGATGGTGGCATCTGTGGCAGGGTCTATCCCAAAGCTCTTGCAGGTGTGTCACTGGCAGTGCAGGGAAGGAGGCATTTAGGGACGTGGGTTAGTGGTGGACTTGGCAGTGCTGAGTTAATGGTTGGACTTGATCTTAGAAGTCTTCTCCAACCAAAATAATTCTGGGATTCCCAAAGTGAACAGAGAGAGATTCACAAAAAGAAAAGACAAACAAACAGAGAATCTGTTGATTAACCAGCTGTTCATAAAAACACAACTATGTTAATTTGTCAGGTGGGTTTTTCTAAAACAGCATCCTGAGAGAGACAGCCTTTAAGTCACAGGAATGTTGCTTTGGGCCATCCTTCTGCATGGGGGTGAGATGTTTGTGGAGCACTTTGGGTGGGGGCACAGGGGAATGCACTTGTGTGAGCATAACACATGGAGGAGCAGGAACAGGTGGAGAAACCAGCAGTGGGGTTTGGTACAGAGATTTATGTACCCTCCAAGGTGTGTATTTCAGGCAAACCTGAGACAAGGCCAGAGCAATCCAGTCTGTCAGCAGCTTCCCCTTGGAAGAACCTCATCCACAGCTTGCTGCTGGTCTCCTGTGATTGCTGGCCAAAGAGCAGTGGGCTGGCATGCTGAGATGACTGGGATCCCAGCATCCCTCCACAATTTCTTCCTCTCCCAATAATGTTATTCTAATTTTGAGATGTTAATTTAAAAGGTTGCCCAGAGAAGCTGTGGCTGCCCCGTCCCTGGAAGTGTTCAAAGCCAGGTTGGATGGGGCTTGGAGCAGCCTGGTCTGGTGGGAGGTGTCCCTGCCCATGCAGGGGGTTTGGAACTAGATGATACTTAAAGGTCCCTTCCAACCCGAACCTTCTTATGATTCTATTCTTTAAAAAAAATAATAAAATAGAACAAACACAGTTTGTACATGTCCTTGATGTAATGAAGCATCTTAAAAGCACCACAAAGCCTGTTCAATTGAATGAGAAAAAAATATGACCAAATTGTGAAAGTGGGAACTTCCCTCCACAAGCCCCAGGTCTCTGGTTTTATCCCTCTGATGACTGAATATTTAGATGCAACCAAGTATTTATTTCTGGTGCCAG